AAGCAGCGTCCTCTGTTTTACAGTGATCTCGAACGCCACTGTCCGTCACTTGTACAGTAAAGGGAATAGCGTATGTAACTGTGGGCTTTCGGGAGTTGCCCGATGAATTCAGTCTGTTTGCCAAACGTCACGGGAAGAGTAACTTTTGTATGAAGTATTTGTAGATAAAAATGTGACAGTAAATGTTGAGGGAAGTCTCCCGCTGAACGGACAGTAGCTGTCGATGCTCTGTATCTTGGTGGATCTGGAGAATCTGGAAGTTGTTGATAATTTGAACTACGTATACTGGTAGGGGTAGGTGATTGTAAGATGGAACGGACCCTGAACAAAACTGTAAATACTTCTAAGTGAAAATATCTTTTTTGCTACGAGAAGCTCTCGTACTTATTTTTGCTATGATGGTCCAGTACATTGGCGTGTATGATATAGCTTTAGCCTAGGCCACCCCAGTGGTCTGCATCCCTCCTGTGAATGTTGGTGTTGATGTCAGCTTCTGTTTCAGCATGTAGAGGTTTTTCTGGAGATTGAATCACCACACTGTGTTATCCAATATGTTTGTATCCATAACAATATCTAGCATATTTGTCAAGCCTATTAGCAACTTGAGGAGCTGTGAAAAGAAAAGCCGCTGGCACCAGACTCCCTGTGCTTCCATGGCAGACTGCCTTCTAGTATATTGGGATTTGAACCTGGGTGCTCTGATACACTTCTTAGGAAATTTACTCTACGTGTAGTCAGTTTGCAATGCAAAAGCTGGAGACATTTTTTTTGTATTGACAGCATGTAAAAAGTTGTAACATTAGGCATTGCAGTCCGTTTTGTTGTTGTGCATTGGCCTTGAGACCAACATGAACCTGTATGATTCCATAGCTTGGTGCTAGTCTGTGGCCGTGTCGTTGGTTTGAATATTTGCACTGGTGTGACGTACCGCAGACTCGGTGCCAAGACACAAACCCTCCCGTTTGCTGGCAAACCTTGGGGTCAAGGGTGACAGGTTAAATCTGACTGTACCATTGTCAGAACAGTGATAGAAAAACACTTGAGGGAGAATCACAAGTGTTTGTTGCAAGACCTTTTTTCCTTCTGTCTGTCTCTTTCTCTTAAAGCAGATGTCTAGCTTGAGCAAATTGTGATCGCAGTAAACCAGTACTGAACCAGTGTAGGTACAGACATGATGAAAGACAGCTTTTGTGTGTAAGCAGAGTTTAACATTTTAACAAACATTCCATTCTGCAGACATTATACCTTGTTTGTTTAGAAAGTTAGAATTTATCATTTTCTTTCTGAGTACATGGATGCTTTTTTAATAGAATAACAAAATAGTTTTTTCTCGATATGACTGAGATGACAGCAGACAAAATGGAATGTGAGCAATAGTGTAATAGAAACAACTTCTGGTTGTAACACTCCCTCTAAAGCAATAGCAGTTCTACAGAACATCTGTAGTAGTTTGTGGTGAAATCTGTATCAATGACATAATGCTATGCAACAGAAGAGATATATAAACCAACTGTTTTGGAGGATCACATAGAAAAGGACTTCTTACCCAGGTAGACGATGGCATGAGTAAGGTAGGATATTCACAGAACAGAACTGAACAAAACAAATTCTCGAGTGTTGTGTATGCTGTCATTCATGCAGTCAGAGAGCATTGCAGATAAATTGTATGTCATATGCCCTCTTCCCACTGAACCACCATTGTAACTAGTATAGCTACCGTCTAACCTGCAATGTCTCTCAGTACAACATAGATGTGATGATGAGTTTTGATAATGACAATCACGTCGCTAGAGGGAGGGTGCTGTCTTACACCAGGCACTTAACAGTGGGTTTGTACTTCTTAAAGGAATCTTGTTTAGCCTGTATAAGAGTAGCATTTGATACAAATGACTTGCGGTGACCTGCTGGAAGTGTTCCACTTTAAGGCTTCTGTTGGTAGTGTAGAGTTTGCTTGGGCTCAAGACTATAATCTAGCTCTCATGATGTGTTTCAGAGTGTGACACATACTAGCCATTTGTACTGGTCAACAAAAAGGGACAAAACAAAGTGTTTTTGACTTGCTGTATTATGAACTGTACTATGTAATACCAATGTGATTGGGCCATAAATTTCCATTGAAGAAAAAAAAATACTGTTACGTCGATGTAGGTTTTGTAAACTATTCATGTACATAGAAAGGCTGTGCATTATTAGTGAGTTGATATGTATGGATTATTGTTCTCTTGTATTCATATTGTAATAAATGACACTTCAGTGGGCCAACAAAACTGAACCAGACTCATGTGCTTCATTCCAACCATTCCTGGAAGTTTGATACAGATAAAGCAGAATGCTAGCAGACCTAAGAAACAATACTAGTAAGTTGACTTGATGAGTCTGTCCAAGGAAGTAATTTCCCTGCCATTTTGTTATGTTTCTACATATTAGTGGTAACATCATCTCCACATATATTGATTACTACTGACACACTCAACTGGCATGGACCCATAAAACTATGATTGTGTAGGGCGATGACTACAAGGAAAACACTAGTATATTTGCCTAACGGTATGGCTTTGCTAGCTATGGATGTGTACTTCTGCCTAACTCTACCACCACATTCTTGAGCTCGTAAATTTTTCCTGATTTTCCCACTCAACCATACGCCTAACTCTGTGTAACATCACACTCTCCGTTGGAATCCAACTGATGAAGACATACTGTATCAAAGTACTGAAGTAGCAATGAAAAAGTAACCACTCCAGCGGCAGGACGTGAATGTCACCACATCATTATGACCAAGTCATGATCGTATTTGTGAGGGATATTATGACAGAGCTATAGTTTTAACATAGTACCATACTCTCATAGGTAAGGAGAACATATTTCTACGTAGTCGAACTTTCCTCATTCGCCAACTACATTGAGCTCCGGGAAATTTCAATGGTGAGCTAAATGGCCCCGGCGGAGGATGGCGCTTTCAGCACCAAGGAGAGCTACGGTGGCTCACGGTGATCGGGTTAAAGTTTACGCTCGCTCCGATACCCACTCAAATCAGCTTACCAGGGTGATGACTAGGCTAAGGAGCGCCATTACAACGGCCCCCGAAATTACACGAACTTTTGAACAGCTGAAAAGAAGCATTCAATGATTATTACGAGAAATTTGAAAAAAGAATCTTAAACCTTTTGATGATAGAATAATAATTCTTAACAAGATAATCCACTTCAACTCGGCTCGCCAAGTCTATAAGCTATAAGAACGAGAAAACCTTGACTCAAATTCGACGATCCTACGATCTTTTCTGAGCCGTCTCTGATGAAAGGCGGCATTGTCTTTATGACGTCACAACACTTCGATACGAAGCGTTACACGGTTCGTGAGTGTTGAACTATGACGTCACCATCAGAATTTTTCTGACGTCATAATCTGACGTTTACCCAGTTCAGCGTGGTCGTTTCGGCATGCGCACTTTTCGAGACTGAGGTGAAAAAAAATTCACCAAATTCTACGTGTGAACGCACCCATCCCTCCGACTCATACACCAGCTACAGACGTACAGCGATGGCGGGCACCTGGTAACGCTATACTCGTAAGTAGAGTTGCTTACTTAGCTGATTTCTTGGGTGGGGAGAGTGGGTGGGGTCAGGTGCAGGTTTGAGCATTTCGCAAAACTTAATGAAAATTTGTTATACGCCCGAAAAATCGGGCGGCCCGATCCTCTAAAGTGGAACCACTGTGAACTATTTCTCTACTAGTATTTCGTGGGAACAATGCAGTCTCGTTCAACGAAATTATTCCTGAAGAACTTCCCATTTTGATGCATCCTTACCCTTACTAACGTTACAAAGAAAAATATTATTTCAACAAACAAACATGGGCCAAACATGTGCATATATTTTGTCTTTTATTTTGAAACATGACTTAGACGAGAAGTAATAACACAGTAGAACATGGAATTGGAGTCATGCTATCGCTACAAAACTTAGTTCTTGACATTCAATTACGATATAACATACATGTATTCAGCAACAAATGGTAATATTTATTTTTACGTGAGAAGATATTGACCCATGTTTAGGCACATGTTTTAAGCATTCAACAAAGGCCTAATGGCTATGTTATACAAAAACGTATAGTTAACATTTTTCATTTTCGTCAGGCACTTGTGTTTTTACAAAGGAAAACCTCACATTAATTCTGATCACTTTGCTATAAAGGACACTTTCACAAAAGTCTTCCATATCATGCAGTACATTTCTATCACCCTGTTTGCTAGCTTTTGAGGTTTTTATATCAGTGCATAGCACAAGATTATTCACTTCAAAGATTAACTGAAGTAATCTCCGAGTCATGCAAATGTTGACAAACTTTGCATGCACAACGGTACAATTGACACTAACAATACTTCAAGAATGCAATGTGCATTGCTGATCATTCTATAGAGGCACACAAGGTATCATTTGACATGAACACATCACAACATCTTTAGGAATACGACACGTATAGAAGGCACATCGGTTTACATGGAATGACTCATCATTTGCAAAAATCGTCAATAAACATACGTTGTTACATCAACATATTCCTCGTGTGAGATAAGTTACCTAGAACATGCTATACTTTCTTTCTTTCTTTCTCAATTCATATCTTTTGGACGGCATCATAGTTTAAAGCGCAACAAATAAATTATAGAACTCATATAGCTGGTTTTAGCCCAGCTAGTATTAAGGTCTGTAACTGGTGGCTGATCTTGTAGCCATAGGATATCGATGTTATTCCAGTTCAAAAGAGTCTAAGGTCGCCTAGGACGTCTGTCCAGCTGCTATGCATTTAGCGCTCATCACTGGTCTCCTCTTTAACCTACTAGTTATAATGGGTTTGAGACACCTTTATATACCTTTCAGTTTCCACAATGCAGTCTCAGGTGTCATTTTAGAGACAGTGCTACCTTTTTTCAACTCCCATTAGTCACTGTGGTCACAGATGACAACATGGCAATGGTGTCAGTTCTGAAAATGTGCGTCTTGCATATAGCGACACGTGCCCTGATCTTTGAAGGACTGCTTGTTTTGGCTGCAGCCAAACGTCTGTAGTGTATACCTCTGGGTTCGAGGCAATGATGTAGATGTCGGTTGAGTCTAGGGTCCAAAATCTCTGGAATCCCTCAGATGAAACTTCACCGCCTGGCGGAGTGGGGCCTGTTGGTAGCCGGTGCGCAGGCAGGAGGGTCCGGTAGTCCCTCCAGGTTGAGTCCGATCAGGTTCCTGCGCAAGTAGTCCAACTCTAGCTGGTCCCCGACCTGCTTCAGTGTCTCCGCACACTTTTTCACCTCTTCTTTGTGCGCGGCATCGCCACTTAATCGGTTGTCGAAAACATCTGGCTTGGCCTTGTAAATGTCTTCGGCCGTAACCAGCTTAGGAAGCCGAGTCGAGTTCGGGTCGTGAGGCATTTCTGTTTTGTTATTGTGAACTTCAAGTGACGAGTCACTGTTGAACGTTGTCGGGACGCCGTTGGCGTGTTTTCCGGTCTCCTTCGCACAACGTTCCGTCTCCCACTCACACACCGCCTTGGTGTTGGTGTACACCATTGAGAAGCCTGCTACCGTCTGAAAGAAAAAGTAACAACAAACGTCATTTGACGTTCGCTTGGACGTGTGTGGGCATGCCGGTCCGTCACGTGACTCAAACGTGACGTATCCTACCACAAATAGCTACAACAGTCAACAAAACATTTACACGTTGCGTAATATACGTGTACCGCGATAATACTTTTCCGTTATGTTATGTTAGTTTAACTATAACCGTTTTCTTCACTGTGCGTGTGGCAGATATCAGAATGAAAGCAAAAATGTCGTGATGATGGTAAAGTTACAAAATTATGAACATGATTATTAACTACGTAACATTACAGTCACCACTTCACAGAGTCATCACACATGAAGGAACCGCGTATAGAATACTAGTAAAATGATAAATGTAACACATTTGCCGCTGGCAATAAGCTGTCATCATTGTTTATATAAAAACCTCCTAGACTCGCTGTTATTTTGTGTCACATGGGGAGGGGGGCGCTTTGTATGAACTACGACTGTCACTGAATGAATGAAAGAAAGATAGTAAAACACCCGAAACACTAACAAAGCAAGGTGTTTTGATCAAAACACGGATATGAACAAAGTAAAAAAAATATATATAAACAAATTCACCTTCAGGTAGTTGCTGGATTACAGACTCAGTATCTTGATATTAGGGGATGTCCGACCGCCGGTACCGACACTTCCTTAATATTTCACTCTTCCTGGCGCCGACGTCAGTTTCGAGTATTCACAGGTGTTTTCAACGAAGGTTTCCTCTCGTACTGACGAAATGTCTCCTTGCGCCCACACTCACTTCACTTGGAACCAAAACTGAGTTCTATTTTGGGAAATTATTCGTCGAATGTGAAACAATGACGTAACTTTCTCTTCTAATGCGCTATTGTAAAATTTTGAACACGATCCCGTGGAATATTTACAGGTATGACTCACCTGCGCGTGAGGTATTGGGGTCAGCCAATCACCGAAGCAGACGCGTCTGACGTCTTGCATAATATCCCGAAATAGGGATGACGTGATGTCACCGAAGTGGACTCGTCAAATTTCGTAACCAATCAGCAACCGCCCTTTTCTCTTCGTCATCCAATCGGCAGACAAAATCTAACATGCCGAAGGGATCGTTCACACTTCGGCATTGTTCGGACATGGTCGGGTGTACTACGCAACAACCACACCCGATGCTAGTGAGTAAAACTGGGGAATTTTACTGTTCACCTCCTTCTTCTTTGCGTCTCGCCCGGACAGGTAGGGAGCTGAAAATGTCGGCGGCTTCTCCTCAGCCTCCGCCAACTGGGTTATCGCCAACATCTGGCTGTCCTGGACTCTCGCAGCTGCTGGGGAGGCAGCAGAAAACGGTCGGGCTGAACGACTTTGGAAGTCTTTTTCAGCTAGGCGAGAACAACAACAAAATTCAACATGGCCGCCAACAAGTCCAGAGGTAAGGAAACTGAGTCAGTAGTCTCGGCACTTTAAAGTAAAGGTAGGAAGTGTAAAGTTTCACCAGACTGATTTGCAGGTTAATTTGATCTGCATTTTATGTATCTAGCTAATAACTATGGGCTTGTACCTAAACAAGGGGTATGCTTTGACGGTCACGTACTCAAAATTTATGAATTTTATAACGTATATTTAGGTGACGCCAAGTTTAAAGCTCGCTGTTGCTGGCTGATGTTTGTCAGAACTGTTACTATTGTGTCCATGCTATTTCCCGTCATCAAGTTCTAGTATGAGATATAGAACAAATTATTATATTTGGTATGCCAATATCTTTTTAGAAAAAAGAGAACAAAAAAATAAATCATAAATGTCAATGTGATTTTGACTGGTGTTCAAGCCGTGTTCATAGAATTCGAAGGAGAGAACACCAGGATCACAATGGCTACAAGGTTTGGTCAAATACAAATCTGATGCAGTGAAAGGCATCCAAATCAAACCAATAGCCCCACAAAATGTTGATTTGATGGAGTGCTTCAGCTACACTGGCTTTCAACTTTCCATACCTGTCTCTTTTATAAGGTTTGATGTCTGAACCTTGTGTTGACCCTGACTAACCAAGAATCTTTCTGTTCCAGTCATCCTGATGCAGAGAACCCCATTGTGACAGAGGCTGAGGATCTAGCCAGGTTCTACATCCAAACAAAAATCAGTAACAGGAAATCCAGTCCACCCAGCAAGACAGCGGCAACTCTACAGAGAACGGCAGACGAGCTCCTGGAGCGGCACCAGTATTTCTTCAACGGCATGGTCAACAGGCTACAGATCTCACCTGAGACAAGCTACACCACCTTCAAGAACGTGGCAGATGAAATGTTAAAGGACGAAACGGTCAACTGGGGCCGCGTCGTCGCCCTGTATGCCTTTGCCGGCAGAATAGCCGTCCACTGTAGAGAGCAGAACCCAGAGGTGGCCGAAACAGTCGGCGAATTTCTGGGAAAATACGTTGGAAGCAACCTCGCTGGTTGGATCAAAGAACATGGGGGATGGGTAGGTATCAATAATATTGATCTCCAAGCTGACACATGTCCCCAGCTTGTCTTTGTGGAGCTTTGCTGTGGTTTGGTACATCTTTCATTTTTTTTCCAAGACACGCCACAGAACCATGTTTTGAAAGTACAAAATGCCACAGTAAGGCATACAAAAATAAGCTAAACTGAAGTCATCTGACTTCTTGTAGATTATACTCATACTGCTTATGGCCAGTTTCCATACCCTCATAATACTCTTGAATTATGTGGATGGTAATTAGATATGCTGGGAAAAACACCCATATTTCTGAACAGAGGAAGTAGCCCATTTCCTCATTTGTATTTGCCTATTGTGTGAAACATCCACTTCAAAGACTCACCCACCTTAAACTAACAACCCGATCCTCTTGTCAGGACCACCTAATATGGTCAGGGTCCCAAGTAGATCAAGGCAAAAGAGGATGTTTATGCCAAATAGAACTTTTCTTTGTGTGGAAAAAAACAAGTGGGAGTGAATTTTTTTCTGCAGTAAAACCACCAAAATGAAAGATCAGTAGACAATCTACATTTCGAAGGTTTGTTTAGAAGGAACTAAAGGCCAAGCAAGGTACTGTAAGGAACTACCAACTTGTCCATTTTGTTCTCATTTTCTTTGGCTGGATGAGATGAAAAACTTGCTCTAAGCTTTTCAATTTAACACAGAAACAACTATGAAGATGTTGGGAATATCTTTCTGGAATGTTGACTTGCTGACTCCTATACTGTATGGCATGACTGTTGAAAGGAAGTTATCCATAGGTCATTGACCTCAGAAGTGTCAACATTTCCAGGTAAAAGATGACACATGTCCTTAGTTAGGGTCATTGATCCTGGGCAAGTCTGGGCTTGGCAATCCTTTACTGCTCTGTCAGCCCTAATATTGCACTGTATGATGTTTTGTACATTCTTTACATGTTGCCTTGACTTGTTTTGCAGGAAACCTTGAACAATGTGTTCCGGAAGGATCAACCCGTGGAAGTCACCCTTCGGAATGGACTTATCTTCACTGCAGCTGCACTAGGCGCTGCTGCAACAGTTCTCAAGCTCATCTCCTGAACCAGTGTTGCAGTATCACACGATCTGTTCCAAGTCACGTCACTCAGACTTTCACTGTCAATTATGCTGACTGTTTGTTTGACAGAAATATGCAGGAAGGATACATTTTTTGCCTTTGAACATTTCAGCATGTCCTATAGGGGTACATGGAATGGAGTATTGTCACAGGTTGAACAGGTCTTCAGTGGCAGCTACTGTGGAAAATTACAGGAACATGGTTAATTGAGAAAGGAACTTGTGTTGGTATTTCATTCCATGTAGCCCATACATGCACACTGTGTGATTCAAAGGCAAAGAAGTGTCCCTGCTTATTTCTGTTGGCATTAATTGATGACATCTTAAGCATTAAGTAGTGAGTCATAAGTCACATAAAGGTTAGTCACAAATATCTTACATACTAGGCATTATGTAATTACCTGCTACAATGTATTACTGGAAACAGATTTGTAGATTGAGTTTGGGAAATTGTAAAGAGGCCACCTCATGTCTGAAGATCTTGAATCATGCCTGGAAAAGCGTTATCTACAGTGCCATCTTATGGAGAGTGGTGCTCAAGTGCTTATGAATGATAAGTGAAGGAAACCCACTTCTTCAAAAGCAATATACCAAAGGCTTATGACTTCTTTTGACATTCTTGATCGAGGTGACCTCTATCATACTGTACCATAATTACAACAAAGTGCCTTTTGTTTATATGATGTAACTATCATTGCTTATTAATTTTTGTGCATAATTTGTATATTGCGTGTATTTTAGATGTCATAAGGAATGAGTTTGAGCCGTCATGTTGCATGTGGACAATGATACAAAGGTTATTTCTACACAGATGAATATAGAGGCTGCGTTGGTACATGTACCTTGCAGTAGAGGCCTAGCTGTGTAACAGATGGCCAATGCTGTGACTGATACTAGTACTAGTAACAACTGCAGGACTATTCACCAAGTGCAACCAAGCAGCCTTCTAAGTATTCTTACATCCTAAGACTGGAAAACAGAAACTCAGAGAGAGGATATTTTGAGGATCAAAGAAAGATAAGTCCTTGATGAAGAAACGTCTACTTTGTAATGATGACTTTTGTATTTGTATGATATGCCGTGAATTTGTAAAATTGTACTTACAGGGATCAGTGAATTTAGTAAGGGATAACTGCCATTGGTGCTGGAAACTGCCTTATATGGTTATATCGAAATTTAGTAATTAACCCTTCTTTCCTCCCATCATTGGTTCTACAAAATACCTTCTGTGCTTCGTGAGTCTGTCGTATCCAATCTTGCCAACCTGCAGACAGTCCAAGTTCCAGTATACCACACACTGGTCTGTACAGATGAATGCTGTGTATGTATGACTGTAACACTCTGGTAAAGACTTGAGAACAGTGGACTCATGTGTACAGATGTTGACTTGTGTACTGTCCTGTTCCAGTGGCTGAGTGTGTGTGCTATGCTCCCTCCTGTTGGAAGGCCAATCAAGGGGATAAGTGCAGGGGGAGGTAAAGGGGATGGTCCAGGCCCGTGCAGATCTTCAGAAAAACCGAGTTCTCCTGTGTGTGTTCTCTGAGAGAGTGCAAGCAGGAGAATCCACTGAGGATCTGAGCTTTGCCTGGAGACAGTAAGTCATTACATGAAGGTACCGGTAAGGAACAGGGTTGTGTACATTGTAATCAGCAATCCTGTTGGGGTGGGTGTCCCTTAGCCTGGTTACTAAACCTTTTATAGGTTTGATAACCAGGCTAGGTGTCCCTTGGTTGTGTATGGCCTAGTTACCACATTCTATGTATGTCACTTCTTTCATGATCATGTAAGGAACCTTCAAAGCTTTTTTCAATGGAATTTTTTTCTTGTCATGATGACTCATTCTATTGAGAATCTCAGTTCAATTGATTTGTTTACTTGCAGGAATAGCCTGGATGACTCATCAGTCAATGACAAAAAAGAGATGATGCAAAGTGTTTATCTTACTGGTAATACCAGACTCAGGTCCCCCAGGCAACAGGATCAGTACATTGCACAATGGCCTGTGCTGATTTCAGAATTATATCCATTTGACTGATGGCTAAATTTGTATCAAGAATCTTCTCCAAATTCTTTCACAGAAGTATGGCAGCTTGGTTCATAAAGAACTGTTATTTCAGTATTAGAGATGACATACTTCAAAAGGAATAGCCTGGGTACCATCCCTATATGTTACACTGCTCAGCTAAGCACAGAGCGGAGCAAATATGGATGCTACCCAGCCTACACAAGGAACACAATGCAAGAACTGTGTCAGGAAACCACATATATTTCACTGATGGAAGGTGTATTTGTAAATCAGGCCGGTGATGAGAGGATATTTCAACATGGGATAGCAAATTGCAAGTATATGTAGGAGGTATTAGACTGGCAACAAACTATATGGACATGTTGCACACAATTGAGTGTGATGAGTAATGAAGATGACTTCTCAAGCTAGAAGGGACGTGACAATTGCAAGAACAAGGACATTAGACATGAGTTGAGAGCCACTCAGTGAAGCCATCTTCATTTCTGTTATGGTTTTGGAAGATTTTATTTGTTTAGCCCTCTCCCTGCTTAGGTACACGCAAAGATTGCCCCTAAGCAGGGAGCAGGTTGATTTTTTCAGGTTTGGTATATTTTGTCATGGAAGATTATATGCACATTGTGTTTTTAAAGACATTATGTTTTAACATTGGAATAAAGTCTATGTGGTACTGGTGCCTCATCCTTAAATATGTTGTCATGTTTTTAGTATTACTGAAGTTCAGTTTATTACCAGGAGTGAAAGAATACAAACCTCATTCAAGTCAAGCAGTAATTGAATGAATATTTGCATATTCATGCCCATGGGGCTACATGCATACATGGACTGTATGATGTTACATGTATCTCATACTGAGTAACAAAAATACATGATATAAACATACAAACCGACCCCTTCCCCCCCACACACACAATTGACACATTTCTGCAGCAATAAATGATTCCATAAAGTAATTTGTTAGTGCCCCAAAAACTTCAATCTGCAAGGCTTAGGCAATAAAAACACTTCTTACATAACTGGCCGTTGAGTCAAAACAAATTTGCTCCCGTGTTTTCTCTCTATGTTTGCAATATAGAAGCGCTTTTCCTTGAAAAGTCTACTCAAGAAATTTTTACGCTTATGACACAAGGAATGGTAGGGCTTACATAATTACATAATAAATTAAAGACAGTGACTTGCATGCTATGAAAAACTGGGGTGCAGGTACTGTGTAATGAGTGGGTGTTGTGGCGTGGGATAGTTCTATGTATTGACACAACGTCTGGCTAACATGTGACCCCAAATCGATAATTTTTGTAAACATCCTGTGCATATCAGAGTAGACTAGGGTCAGTTTGAAGTGTTAGAACAGTTTTCAATTTTCTGTGTTATCACACAGCTAAACGCTCTGCTTGCGACTTGATGTGAGCTGAACAAGGCTAGAACGAGTTTTCTCAGTCGACAGCGTAATACCAAAACAAAATATCACCATAGTATCATGACAATGCCCAGTTTCAGTTTCCACTCTTTGGTTCGGGTACAAAGGTGGAATGTTTCCCAGATAACATGGACAAAAGCTCGGCAGACATGTCCGTGCGTGTAAGGTGCACCAGTTGACATGCGCACCTGTGCCCACCTGTCGTGACGTCACAAGTCCGGAAGTGGTGGGCAGGTGAGGTGGGCGGGGGACGGCCCAGCGCGGCTCTATTTCTGGGAAAGTGTTGCACCACAAGGAAACGGCAGCAAAGGAAGAGGCATCACGTGGATCATAAGGGCCCAACCCCCGCACCTTGTGCAAGTACTTCACGTCATTGGCGCCAAATAACGCCAGTGAGAACGGGGTTTTCCTGACACTGCCGCTAGACTCTTCCGAGGGAGGACACGTATTCTGACGGTCCCTGGGATTTTTTCAAGGCTCGAGTGTAGTTCGATTTTGAGGTAGGTGTATAGAAATTCAGTTCATAAAGGTATCTATTCCTGACAAGTGAAGAGAACGTTGTAGACTTTGCCATGTACATTCTGGTATGAATTGGTTGAATTATTACTTTTGTAAGGTAAATATGAAAATGAAAATGACCCGACCCTGTAGTAGCAGACAAAAATGACCGGCATTTAGGCAATAAACACTACGACTTTGCCTGTAATTAACCTACAAACGTGTACAAATTACTAGTACAGTTTATATTGTGGGTAGGCGTGGTGACTGTTGGCCGACAAGTTTACACGTACATGTAACGTATCCTCGGTACTTTATATGTGGACTATACACGATTGTGTTACTTTATATATATATAGTTTTGTTTAGTTTTGGACGTTCGTATATGTGATACATGTTCACAAGAGGACACAGTATAAAAGGCAATTTTTGTCACATTTTAGTACGTCTCTTCACATCTCGGAGCTAGCTTTAGGTGGGCTTGTGACAGGAAATTACAATCGACTGTATTTGTGCGTCCGTCCTCCCACACACTAAACATAGTTCATGTTGTTAGTGCTTCACTTCAGTGTAAAATGTAGATATAAATGGTTTCTCATATTGACTACATCTCCCTTTACGTATTTCCACTAGATTGTAAGGCCATGGGCTTCAAGCAAACATCTAGCATGTGGGAAACACAACGGAACAATCTGTCAGGGAGTGAAGAAAGGAGGGACGGGGCCAGCAATACCAGCAACACCGCCACAACAGCACCGACATTAGGGCAAGAATTGGTCATACAAGTCAACACTGTACAGATTCGTGCTCTGGACATTTCGATGGGGCGGCCTGGACTGAAACCTTCTGTGGAAGTAGAAAAGCATTGTGGTATTATTCTCCGTAACTTGGGTGACGAACTGTTTAACAGGTCACTGAATGCCCTTAATCTTGAGGGACTTGCGCCACCTACTGACAATGACAGAAACCACAGAGGAAGACACCACTCGGCAAACAACATATGAACAAGGAGCTGGGCAGAAAATCATGCCGTCAGTTCTGCAAACCTTCTGTAAAATATTGGCATAATCAAGCACAGATCACTAGAATGTATCTGATGCTTTTGTATCGATTATGGTCAGCCATATACGGAGTGCAATAGGACAAATACCTTAACTGTATAGTCAAAGGTTGGAATAAAAAAATAATTTTAGGAGTGGCATAACACACATTAACCCTCGGTTGCTAAGTATTCTATTCAGCATTACTATACTAGTAATCAATATATGTATAATCGAAACAGTAGTGCATTCAGATCAGTATGTTCTGCTCGTAGCGCAGTGTTTAACGAATATATCACGGTTTCAACTGTGCAGAATGTAAAAAGTGTTGTTTTAATCATATTACACAGACTTTCACTCTGGTGCTGTGAATGGAATTAAAAACCGTCAACACTAACGCTGAGTGTATAAAGTACGAGATATCTTTACTTTTGCCCAAGCTCAGTCAACTAAGATCTGATATAACGTTTATGGTCACACTTGACAGAATTCGAAAAAACAGATACATGGGTACAAGAATAGATAGATGGGGATGGAGGGATGAATGGGTGAATGAAAGAAATTTAGTCTTATTAATCAAATACCACTGGAAATTCTCACAAGATTTCTTCCCTAACGTAGGTAGTGCTTGTTCATACACACATATCGTTTGGGTATAAATATTGTACATAAGAGAGATGTGTTTTTTTTTCAATTTATCACATTTACACAAGATATATAAGCAGCTGTGTAAAGAAACAAAACAGACCAACCAAGGATAAAGGACAACATTGTTAACGTTAGTAATCAAACGTTACCACATAGCTTTCCTACGTGTTACATAAGTTACCTTGCTCGCTTTCCCTGTTATATGTCCGGCAAGCTTTCACAGGGCGCCATACAACGCACAAACGGGGTAAAAGTTGTGGTCCTCGGGTCACAAACAACTTGCAAACTTCGAAGTTACCAATGGTTACATGACATCACCTGGTGGAACAAGGGATGATAAAACAATGGTGCGGTTAGAACACATTCGAATGTCTAGTTTCTAAGCAACAGAGGATTCGAACATACACATTGGAGCTTCCACAGTTTCCTATGTGACCGTGAACATAGCCGCTAAGAGAGAATTTGCCCCCCTTCGAGTTGTTTTATGACGAAGTGAAGAAGACAAAGGCTCCAAAGATAGTTGGTTTCATAATGAATTTACGATCAGGAAAAAGTGTAGACAGTGTTCTGGATAGGGAGCAGAAGAAAAGGAAAGCGAATAAATCTAGAGCTAGTCCGACCGCTGCCGAAAGGGACCGTGAGGAACAACAACTTTTGCTGCAAGTCGTTGTCGCGATGGCCGTCATTTTCATCGGACTGGTACTCTACGTCGAGGTTTGTGTTGTCGTGGCGTGGGACAAGTATATCATTGTTGTGGAGTATGGCAGTTGCAGCTTATCAATGTGGCTTCCTGTGTCGGGAAATATGGGTAGCTTTCCCTAGATTGTGTCTACTTTTTAGTTGAAGCTTCGATTGAATGGTAAGGTGATTCAGTACCAAGGACAGGGTATGTTATGACCGTCAGTTTTGAGTAATGTTACCACAGAAGAAGCTCGTTCTCATACATTCTATTCTCTCCTTCTGTTACAGTGGAACAACCTGTGGTTTGGCCGTACTAACGCCCAGGTCGTTCACAAATCGGCTGTGATGGCGCCATTAGCATCGGGCAAGGCCAAGACAGGTGACCCGTCTCTCTACCATCTCACCCTTCCGTCCCAAGGCAGTACTGCAGGCGACTATGCCCAAGTCATGGAGGCACTGCTGGAACACCATCCCCACAGTGTCCGGCCGTTTGTCCAGGCTATGGGGAGAGAGCTATTCAAAGAGGTTGTCACTAAACTTATCCAGAAGGACGTCCATCTTCTAGAGCTCATATCCGAGGCCATGAGTCTTCCACCTGACTCGGAGGGGGAGTGCTCCTTCAGGGTTAGTCCAGAGTCTGGAGAGATGGATGTCACATGTGAGGAGGATCGAAATATCGAGGATCACCAGGAGCTTTAGACCACTGGAGCTTATGTTGATGATTCCCTTTGTGGTCTTCTGTTTTCGATTGTACAATAGCGATACAGTTTGTGTGCTTTGAGATGAGATAAGCCCCCCCGAAAAAGCTAAGGCACAACCTTTTCATTAAATGATTAATGATTAGCGGTTGATTCGTATATTGTTCATTAACAGATATACGCTAGGGAAAGCGCCGAAACAAATTCGTTGCACGTATAGATATGCAGGATACTGTTAGGCTTCAAAACCAGTGATATAGACTTGCTTTCAGTTATATTATCTGAGTGGCCGAGATACGCTGAAAAGTGTACATGTGCTGTGTTTAGTCTTATTCGCTAGATGTCGCTGCTAATAAGTGCAGTGGTGTACTGCACTGAGAGAAGCGGAAACGTTGCACCGAGCGAAGGTAAATAAAGCAACATTTTGGATAAATGAAGAATTGTGCATGTTCTTTCCTGCTACGATAAAACTCCATTAATTATACTCTGAGTAGGGCTACTGGATGAGCATTGCCGACGAAAACTGGTAGTAAAGATTGAGATCCCCTCATCAAATACCCCAGTGGACTGGTCCGGTTCCTGACCCGGAAATACGTCACGCCGTCCCGTACAGGGAAGGGAGGACGACACAACAACCAGCCCGCACATGAAGTCCCAACAGCGACGGGCACGGACAGAGCAGCCGACAGGCTCCTATGCATGCGGTAACAAAAGTTTACAGGCTTCCAGGTGGTGCTGAGTTGTAGGAGAGGCCGGGGAAGATGAGGTTGTCGTGCCGGAGGCTGGCCCTCGGGCTGAGCGCGGGCGCCTTTCTGTGTTTCTGGCTGTTCATGACGGTGTTCCAGCAGGACCTGGCGGCGGGGAGGATGGCGACTCAGGGGGACGGGTCTGCTGGTAGCGAGCGGTGGGCGCTAGGGAAGCACCCACGGAAGATCTCCAGCGTCGGCAGGCCTGTGGAAGACGACGAAAGAGACAATGACATCAAGAAAACGTCCAGGACTCAGTCTAAACACAGTAAACCCGGGAACAGAGGCTCATCGTCCGGGCAGAACACAGTGTCCGTACCTGACCGCCTGAGGAAGACTGAACTCCGTGACATTTTCATCGGCGTCAAAACAACAGAGAAGTACCATAGACAGAGGATGGACCTTCTTATGGACACATGGGTGTCTCTTGCTAAGGATCAGGTAACACAAAATAATGTCAACTACGTGTCTTACGTAGATGCTTTGTGTGTTGATTTCGTGTCGATTGCCCTTACTTCTGGAAGAAATACTTTGATTTATACTGTATACGAGCCATCCCTACAATATGGTGCACAGAAAATACGCAATATTACCTACATGTCTTGTAGAAATGTTTTCATATATTTTGTTACACCAAACCGAGCTGCAATATTGTATTAAAAGTACAAGTTGCAACAAGTTGGAACATGTATAGAAGCCGTGTGTTCGACAACCTTCTGCAACACTGAGGCTCAGGTGCAAATTCGTTACATTACAATCTGATAAGAGAAGCCCAAGTTTACACAAATGCTAACTTGTCTAATGCAGGTCTGTTGCATATGAATGGATCGTAAATACTGAAGCCCAGCTCCCCCAACAAGGTGCTAATTGTATGTTTTCTATGTTAGTTTTTCCCATGTTGGTGTGTGTTGGGTTGAACAATGGTTTTCCCATCTGTTTGCTCCAAGGTGTGTTTGCCCATCACCTTATGGCCCTACTGTTCACAGGTGTTCACTTGTTCACTTGGCCAAGTGGCATAAAAATTTCTCAGTCGTCCGACCCGCAGTAATCCTCTTGATTCTCACCGCTTTGTGTGCCGGTCGAACCTATAACAATCCGGCTAACCTGAGGTTAACACAGTTTTCATATATCATCCTGGGCATTGTTCACCTTGCTATTGTATGTAAATGTTTTGCGTATAGAGTTCAGCGGTGAGGTCCCCGTGCTTTTTCAAGCCAACTCCTACTGAGGGAAGTCATGCGGGTTCCCAGGGCCTTTTCTGACCCTGTCCTCCCCACATAGGACAAGAGGGGTGGTACGGAGGGACGGCGCTGACACAATACTACAAAACATGCTCACTGTTTGATCGGCCTGAGAATAGTGGGGCTTTCACACTTAATTTCCCCTGCCTCAGTCACAAGCCGGCCCCGTCTGAAAATGCAGCGTCTTTAAGAAATCAGCTGTTTCAGCCCGCTACCGCAGTTTCTGGGAACAATCACAAGAAGTGCCCCGGGCTCCTGTACCTTGATTCTACCTCCATTGTTGGCAAGACTTGGAGTCGTCGTATTGTTTGGGACTTCTCCCGTGATTCGGGGTGGCGTGTGAAATTGCCTCCTTCGCCCGCGGGCCGGTCAAACAATTGTGCCCCCAGGCTGCTGGCAGGGAGAGAATTGTTTTCCGCGTAGAGTACTAGTTCTGTTGTGCTGCACACCCAGAGAGCTTCTCGCTCGTTTCAAAGGAACTTGCTTTCACCAGCAAGAATGAGAAGCTGCTGGAAATTTTGTACAGGGTAAAAACGTCATCTATTATCAGTAGATACAAGACTCTCAGAAATATGGTTTCAAGTATTTTTCGTCTTTTTTAATATATGCATTGCATATTCAATAAAATGTTTTGTATTTCCGGCTCTATCCTTCAGGATTACTCATGGTCATGCACATGTAATTCCAGGAATGTATGGGTTCTGATACCTGGGTTAATTAAGCAAGGAGGTTTAAACCTCTATTGCAGTATTGGTTAACCTAGTGTAAAAACGTGGATATACTGGAACTTCTCTACTACAACAATTGTCAATAGATTGTATCTTTCAATCTTCCACCAGGAGATGATCCCCTACTCTCCAAGTTGAATAAGACACTGTGTACAGCATCTAGATTTGGACAAGATAAGTTTGTTTGGTTCAGGTTATCTGAAAACAAGTCCTGTGGCACTTTTGGCTAACATCCATTTAGTATTCCCCATTAGATAAAGTAGGATTCATACACAGTCCAGTCATGTTTTGTGCTGTGATTGAGCCCAGCATCTTCCATCTGTTGATGCCTTGATAAGTTTCAAACAGTGACAGAAAAATTTATACATAGGGAATTTGGAAAGAACAAAGATATCCCATCTAAGGTGTATCCTGTTTGAAAATATTAGGATGGGGGGCATGGACGATTGTACGTTGACATGGCATCAACCATATTTATTGTATAGGTTTGTGACTGTCTGTCATGTTACCTAAAGTGTAAGGGGCTTCCATGTCTGTGAGACATTGATCATGTAAAGGGGAGACATGTCCATGGGACACAGTATCTGCTGTGAAGGGTAGGGTGACATGTTTCTCAAGGGGGAAAACATTGCAATGGCCATATATGGGGACTGTCCCACTGTCTAGTCTTGTGGGATCTCGCATACGACCAGGGTAACAAGGGCCATGAGCTAAACAGACTGTGTTCATGTGATTATTGCAATGTATGTATGTATGTATGCATGCAATATGCAATATGCAAGATTCCAATTTTCAAAGTCAGTATTCAGTGATACAACATTTTTCAGTGTCAGTATTTTTGTCAGTGAAATACAGGCAACAAATCTTGTATGTCTTGACTTTTGTGTCAGCTGTACTAGCCTGTAGTGTTGGTTGCTAGGGAAAGTCATTCATGGCTGATCAAAGCTCGTATTGCTATTTTATGCCCCCAAAATGAGATGCAAATTGACAAGTTTGGGTCTAGTAGATTTGTGGGAAACTGTCCATTAAAAAGTTAACAGTGTGTGACAGCATATGGGTAGGTAGAATACCGATGCTCGGGCGTTACTCCCATACAAAGGGTTTCATCAATTTTCATGGTGCAACTGTTTCCTGCTCGCAAAATTTACTCATCAAAAGACAAGGCCTTTTCAGAGGGAGGTAGTGAAAGATGCTGGTCGTGATTAATGGAAAGCACCCTCATCTCGTATGCGAGGAGAGAAGAGAGTGAAAGCCCCCTGTCTAATGCTATTGTTGTCCACCATTTGTGACACACAGAAAAGGCTGGCTGCACACAGTAAGAAATGATAGGGTTCAGGTTTGGGACACAGCCTTCCCACGAACAGGCTTTACCCAATCATTCAAGCCCATTTATCACAATTTAACTTTATATCTATAGACAAAACATTCAATGAAACTGTCAAGCAGCAACTATATTGTATATTATTAGAATTTTGTCAAACGATCCTGAAGTGATGAAGCTGGAACAAGTCCATACCTACCAAAGGTATTGTTATATTTCATGTGTAACATTACTTTTACTGTAGCAGAGTCTGACTCAAAATTTCCCCTTCCAGGCTCCCACAGTAGTATCCCATAGTTCCACAGTATTTTAGGAAACAGATAAATGATAGGGAAAAAGAATGGACAGCTGCCCAATTAGGTGGCTAGGTGACAGATGGGATAAGATGGAAGGGGAGGACATGATTGGTAAATGGTGCTTATCAAGGTATGGCTAATAGTAGGCATTAGAATAAACTGTAGGCTGGTTCAGTTTATAAACAGAAGTTCCTAAATTTTAATGTAGGGTCTTCTGATGACCCAAGAGAGTTAAACAACCCAGAATATGAGTTTGCTTGTTTAATAATCATAATTTGAAGAAGGAAATTGAAGAACAAATCATTTATAAAACTTTGACTCCTGCTAGATTCTTTTCAGCTATGGCAATGCTTTCTCGAAGTACATGTATGCATGTGTGCTCACTACTTCCCAAATTGTACGAATTCTACTGCCTAAGTTTACTCAACACAAAGTTAATGAATTGTCTGCATGCAGAGGTTTGGTCGTAACACTTACAGGTGATTCAGAGTTTTCTCACAGCACAGTAACATGGACTTTGTTTACAGAAAAATGAAGAAATGTTGGAATGTCCGTTTGTCCCATAGTAAATGTGGTCACCCGGAGGCATAATGTAGACAGGGCACAGTTATCCGGGTTTACTACTGTTTGGCATAGACAAATCATGCCCCGGAGGCAGATTTGTTTATAATTAAGCTGCTCTACATAACAAAGGAATTAAAAATCTGGCTGGAAACGTGCAGGGTGGGAAAAACTGATACTTGTATGTCACAAAGCCACAGTAAGAAATGAATTATGGTAGTTTTCTTTCAGGCTGTAGAAAATGTACGACCTGTTGCTGACTGTTGAACACTAGTATTTGAAACAGTAGGAACCGGAGATGACCTGTATAACTTTCCTGTGTTGGTAGTCCATCAAACAAATCATCAAAGTCCACAGAACTTCCGTATCCATCACAAACCTGCTCTAGAACAGAAAGATGATCACTTGTGAGTCTGTTGGAAGGTTTTTATGTAGAATGACCTGTTTGTTGACATAACTGTCTGTGTAAATAGACCAGGCCTGAGCTCAGGGGAGACACTGCCACTCTCACAATGGGCTGGAGAGATGTTTGGGTGGGCTAGAAAAACTCTACTCCTAATGAAAGTATCAATTTGGTAAGATCAACAAACTGTAGCTTGTGTTCACAGTTTTCCCCAACTGACCATCATTACCTGAAGGATTCTGTGTTAGTGGCCCTTGGTAGCTGAAACAGTAGTCTCTGTAGGCTGCTAAGTGCAGAACTTTGGAAGCCTTGCCTTTGTTCTTTGTCTCTTCCACTTTGATAAATGTTTCCATTAGTCTAATGACAGCCCCTAAACTCTGGTCACAAAAATAACCACAGGCACACAAACCAGCTAAATGCCATACATTTGGTATAATATTTCAATATAGCAGTGAGGCTGAGGTATATTTGGCCATTCGGTTAGGGACATTCTTCAGTTTCTCAGCAGATGTCCCCCAGTGTACTGTACATACATGTAATGTTTATGTTTCGGCAATGCTAATGGGATAAGATTGTGGTTTTGTGGTGCCAATGGCATTACCCAGATTATGCAGACTGAATGTTTTGTGTCACAAATTATACTTTGTACAAGATAAATGGCTTGACTTGACTTTGTTTGGATCCACAAGTGGATTTCTCTGCAATTTTGTTTCATCATAATTTTCCAAAGTAGATCTTTCAGCAATGTCAACCACTGTTACAGATGCTCTAATTTTAGGCAGTAGTTTTGCTAACTTTGATGTTAGTCCTTTACAAATTATCCCAACTGGACAGAGTACAGTACGTTTGGCAACAGGTGGGCAAAATATTTGGCATGCAAGTACCATCGAT